AGTAGATTTACTATGAGTAACAACGTTCAAAATTCGGATCATTATTCCCATGATTATTCCTGGAGCGAAAGGGTCTGTTCTCCCATAACTACCCTCTCAGAGGCATGGACATGTTTGGAAAACCTCCCTCGTTGGATAAATAACATTATAGAGCTTATACCTCGCAGTAGTATGGCCATAAAGTGTACAGACCTGGAATGTCACGTTGAGAATGATAAGTTTGGCCCCATTATTCGGACGCATCACAATTCTGTCCCTCGTACCCTTATTTGCCATGATATGAAGGGGGGGTATATACAGGACAAGTGCGTAAATTGTTATCTAATAATTTAAGTATGTGACCTACTAATTTTTTTCTATTAAACAGATTTACAGGTCCAGTATTAGAAGGAAACGGATATGCTTTTTATCGGTGGGCACAAATTGACTCTTTTGTTTATTTCAGTCATCATCTGATAACGATTCCACCCCTAGGCTGGATAAATGTAGCGCACAGGAATGGTGTGAAAATTTTAGGTGCGTCTTTTCACGATTTTATATGGAGTTTTTAATTAAAACTTAATTATATTTAGGGACTTTTATTACCGAATGGGACTCTGGAAAATTTATTTGCGAAGAGATTTTAAAATCTCCGGAAGCGATTAAAAAATTTGCAAATATTTTGGCTGATCTTTGCGTCACATATAAAATAGACGGATGGTTATTGAATATCGAGAACAGTATTAGCAATCCCTTGAAACTGATTGATTTTGTCGAATATTTGACGAGACTTTTACACATTAGAAGACCTGGCAGTCTAATAATTTGGTACGACAGCGTTACGAAAGATGGAAAGTTGTCTTGGCAGAACGAGCTCAACGATTTCAATAGGTAGAAAATATATGTGTAATTAATCAATAAAAATGTGTTATTGTTTTATTTTGTAGGTCTTTCTTTGATGTTTGCGATGGTATATTTGTAAATTACACCTGGAATGAAACGAATCTTCAGCAAACTGTTAAAGAAGCAAAACACAGAAATTTGGATGTTTACATCGGGGTGGACGTCTTTGGACGTAATTTTTTTGGGGGAGGACATTTTAACACGTATTTGGTACGGAAATATTATCCTTCTCTGCTTTTTCACGATTCTGTACCCAGAAAAGGTAACATAGGACCCTTATAGTAATTACTTCAGCAATTATTAAAATACTAGATGGAAATTTTTAATTGCAAATAGAGGCCAAACTATTGGGGTGTTGCTATTGAAGTGGGGTGCTAGGATGATTAATAATAACTGGATGCTTGTTTTTAACACATTTAGGAACATCAACAGAATTTATCTTTTAGGCAGCTGAAAAAATCAGGCAATACAATCTATCAATGGCAATATTTGCCCAAGGATGGACCCATGAAACTTTGGAAAAGGAACCCAGGGAAACTTTCATGGAACGATTTTTGGACAGGGACAATGCTTTCTGGAGAAGTCTCTGGCCTTACTTGTACACCCACTTGCCAACGTTGACCTTTCACACAACGTTTTATTGTGGATCAGATAAAGTAAGAATCACAGCGATCGAATAACAAAAATAAAAAATTGTATTTACAGGAATATTACAGGCTAAACAGTCAAGAACTGCAATTAACGCGATTTCTGCATGGCAAAGGGAAAAGTCGTGAAGACTTCGAAGTTGCCACCTTAATAGATACTTGTAACTGTTTGCAAATGCATTTTGATGGAAAGTACACATCGTGTGTTATATCTAGAGGCCATTTAGATGGCCACAACTACGTCCATCACCTTTTCTCTTGTGATATTCACGTTAATGGCGACGCAATCATTTACACCTACACCAAACCACATAACGACGCCTTTGATAACTTATCGATAGTTTTGCTGATACAAAATTCCAGCGGGAGTTACGAAAAGATCGTGTGCCATTCAGTAGATCAGGTAAAGTTGCAAAATAGCGTAACCTTAACCGAAATAAACGAAACAAACAGTGAAGAGGTCATAAATAAAATTGCAATTGCTCATCATTATTATCCAAAAGAGTGGAGATTGAGGTGAGAAAGAAGAATGCGTTTTATAGTTTATAGAAGTTTTAAGATTACCTAGTATGCGTTTTAGATGTTTCGAAGTTCATTTGTACGACTGCAAGATAATCGAAATAGGAGCTAAAATCGAAAAGGGAAATTCGGTGTGTTTATGTGGCTTTGGTATTGCCGATATGTCTTAAAATAATTATATTGTATTACATTATATTAAGTAGGTTCTAATAATGGTATCAGATAATTTACTTTAATATAAGGAACTATCAGTACCAAAAACGGTCATCCATTGTGTCACATTACCTCATTTTAATTGAAAAAAGAAGTATTACATCAACTGAGATACTCGCGAAATATTAGCCTAGAAGAACCCGAACTTTTTGGCAAAAAAATTTCACCAAAATATATTTATATGTGAACCGTGCTACCTATCGTCCTGCACACTTTTTTTAGTTTAAGTGAACGTGGAATTCCAAGTACTTTAGTGTGATAGGTACATAAGATTTATGTAAATACTACCTTCGAATTGCTGGTAAGTAATTATATGGGTTAACAGTTCTTAATTTCATGTTATTTAAAATCTATAAATGTTAGAGCCTTAGTTAGAATTTTTTTCTGTAGTATTTACAAAGTCCTTTATGTGTATGAATAATTTTGGATTTTACAGACTGCAAGTTTGGATATTAAGTCCCGTCTTATCAAAAAGATAATTTTTCCCACTTTTTAAATCTGTGCGGTTAGGCAACCCATTTTTCACATTTTACCATTAGGTTGTAGGAAGAGCGATTAGAGCGATAAAAATTAATAATTTAACAACAAATGAGGAAGCAATTGGAAGCAATACACATTTTTAATTTAAATACCACATTTTGGATCCTTTCTACAGTGAAAATAAAAATATTTTAAAAAAACTGTTTAGTTATTTTTATATTAAATACAATTTAGACAAGATAGGCGTACTTTATTAAGTTTAACGAGGATTTTGTACAGATTTATTCTGTATTAATACGTTTTTTTAATAAAAAACACATATTTGGACTTCCCCCTCCTTCAATTTCAAATATAAGTCTTCATATCTCCTACAGATGTTGCTCTCATCGTTGATTGATAGATAATAGATTTATTTCTTTGATTTTTTTCTAATTCTATGAATATCGCCATTTTATTTTAACGTTTTCCGTTTTCGTTTGTGGACAAGGTGGCGTGGCATCGTGGTTCATCTTTTTAATTAATTGTGACTTTTCTTCATTTAATTGTTAAAAACAATAGCGCAATTGTTAGTTCTTAGTGTCTTTTATCAGTAAATGCAGCAATGAGTTACGGAAGACCTCCTCCTCGTATTGAAGGGATGGTTTCCCTTAAAGTGGACAATCTCACATATCGAACCACACCAGAAGATCTTCGCCGTGTATTCGAACGTTGTGGAGAAGTTGGAGACGTCTACATCCCACGGGATAGATTTACAAGGGAGAGTAGAGGGTTTGCTTTTGTTAGGTACGTCTTAAAATTTCCACAATTAAAACTAACCCTGTTGCTTGTGGATACCAAAAAGCACTATTTTTATTTAGGAAAAGTATTTTAGTCATGCACCTTGTCTGTGTAGGTTTTATGATAAACGAGATGCAGAAGATGCACTTGATGCTATGGATGGACGTATGTTGGATGGGAGGGAGCTCAGGGTTCAAATGGCAAGATATGGAAGGCCAACATCACCACATCGAAGACATGGACGTTCTGGGCGCAGGAGGTACACCTCTAATACAATAAAAATATTCTCTGTTGCATTTATCCTATTAATAGGTCACGATCCAGATCACGTAGACGTAGTACTTCTCGCACCAGGAGGCGTCGTTCTGTGAGTCACAGTCGGTCGCCCTCAAGGTCCCGGTCTCGCAGTAACAGCAAAAGCTCCAGAGGACGATCACCAACTGGTTCAAATAAGTCTAATAGCAAGTCTAGATCCAGATCAAAATCTAGAGATTAAAGTAAGTTTTATTACAGTTTTTTTATGTTTTATATTATCTAAATAACTAATTATTGAAAATTAATAAGTCTATTGCCTTGACAACCCATATTTTTTAGTCATATTTGTGAAGCTTTATGTATAAACAGAAAATTGATACTAGCTTATTAATTAGAATTGTTTCTGATAAAGTTATAATATTTGTGTCGTATGTCTTAGTACAATATGATTTTAGGGTGTAATTGTAATAGTTTTTTAAATTTTTCTAGGTACCAAGTACGGAGTCACATTTAGCAAACAGACTTCAGTGACAGAAAAGGTACTTTTAATTTTTTGCTTGTTTGTTTATATTATCACACTTTGCTTTTCAAAAAAAAAAACATCGTTTCTGAGGGAAAAATGCTTATTATTAATTAAATAGAATCATCGCAGTTTAGCATAACAGTTTTAAATTGAACAGTGTGTTTATTTACGTTCTTTTTTTATGCTACTTATCGTTAGTTTATTATTTTGTAATTTTTAAAAATTTAAAATTAGTTAACTCTATTAACGTTCTCATTTTGTGTATTTGATTTTGTTCTTTTTCATTATTGTTAGTTGAAAAAGGAAATAGTAATAATAGAATTATTTTTAAAGACTTATGACGAATTTAAATTTTTCAATACGTATTTAAAGAGTTGTGTATTTAAAGGATCGTCGCGCTTGTAACCACTTTTATTTTTTAATTATAGATATAACAAATCCCTTAATAAAACTTGAACAAAATTGTCTTAATATGGACTTGATTGATTGAAATTAAAATTGTCTTTAAATAGTAAGTTGGATTATATTGGTTATTTGATAAGGGACAAATTTTGTGTTTTATTTTTTACTTTTTCTTTTTGTTTGTTTTTTTCTTTTTATGTAATCATAAACAGGAATTTAGCCAGGTTATTTTTGCATCATTGAAGTAACCCAAACATCTGGTTTGTTATTATGGGATGTGTAAATAAAATTTTCTCTTACATAATTACTCGAGTAATAAAAATGAAATGAAATCCTTACTCTCCAAAACTAATTGAATCACTTTCAAAGTTTTTATTTCTTTCAAAGACTCTGCGTTAGTAATTAAGAGGCTTTCATTTACTTTTTATTCAAGATAAATAAGTTCTTATTTAAGTGTCGCATTGAAAAAACAATTGATTTTACTTGTTTGTTAATTGAAAGGAACTGATAAATAGTAATTGAATATGTGTGCGATTGATTAAAGTCAAAAATCTTGAGAAACGTTTTCAGTTTTATTGTTTCCATTTGAATGTATTTCCTAAAACAGTCTTTTTGGAGCCAACTGACAAGGCAATCGAGTAATGTTTGTAATACTAAAATAGTTGTGATGTATTAAGGGTAATACCCTATTTGTTTCGATGCCAGTTGTCAGTTGGCGATGGTAATTCAATTTTTTATTAGATAAAAATTGAATACAGTTGAAAAACATTTACTAATCGGTTTTATGTGAACAGGCGCAGTGCCTGAGGGGTGCAGTGCAGAGAGAGAGAGAGAGTAGCAGTGTTGCGGTTCTTTTGGTTGGTGGTGGTAGTCGCGGTGGCAGAGTTGCAGCCAATGGCGGCGAGTTGTTGCGGTAGCATAGCGAGAGAGAGGTGTTCGAGACAGGTACAGGGACAGACAAGGTGTACTCTACGCTAGTGCATCCGATCACACCTAACAAATAAAAAAAAGATGCAAGCAGAATACGCCACCACCCTTAATAATCAAACGAATCAATAAAAAAAAAATAACCATACGCCACGCCAAGACTGCTTCACGTGCTCTTGTTTTTTTTTCTTTAAGTTATTTCAAAAACTAGAACCGAGCGGAGTATAAGGTAAGAGGGACGACGGGGATTCCCTTGAAATAGTTAGTTTGTTTACCTGAACACAGATAATTGATAATTCATCATCTAGATCAGTCAGCCTAAATTTTTTGATAGGGATATCTCACTCATATTTTTAGAATAAATAAATACTAATAAAATGCTCAAATCCTGATCCAAATTAATTAGCATTCAAAAACAAAAAATGTGAAAAATAGAAAGTGCGTAACGTTAGATATGGTTATATCCGAATTTTATATTTGTCCTAAAAGTATGAGCTAGCTATCATTCGATGATAATTCACTGTTTGTCTTGGGCCTTTTTAAAAAGTTTTACAATTAATGATCTGTTCAGGACTCGATATTTGGGTTTGATGGCCGTGGTTAAGGGTTAGTTTTCCTCCTTATTAGAAGAGTACGACCATGTTACGCTTCCTCAGGATGTTAGGTGACCAAACGTCGAATAAACTACTCCATCGGTGGACTCTTCGAAAAAGGAGAGTCAGTCTTGGATCACGGTCGTTAGACTCGAATACCAAGCCTATTTCAGATATCGCTGCCAAGGCTGTAGCCTTTTCATAATGATTTCTACGTTTATAATTTCTCTGTAAGTCGTAGAAGCAACAAACTAGAAAATAAGCCCTTTTCCAAAAACAAGTAAATACTTCTCTAATATGAAGCATTTCGTTAATATGGCTTTAATGATAACATTTCTGAGACGTTTTTTAAAATAGAAAGTTAATTGTGGAGTAAAATATTTCAGGTAAGTAGCCCATAATGAGGCAAAATATACTTAAAACGTTTTTATCTTTTATTCATCGTTCTCATTTTACAGATACTTAATACTTCTTACATATTTTATCATTAATTTGGTTAACAGGATAAAAAATAAATAAAAAACGCAAAAGAGGGATATGTAAAGTTGGTTTTTTTAATAGTTTCACTGCCACAGAACGCAAATGTGTATATATTTGTTTTGTGATTAGTTTCTTTTACTACTTGCAAACAATGGTTTAAAGTTTAAACAAAACTGGTTTTTGTTAAACATTCAAAACAAACGGGACAAATGGCAAAATTACAATGGTTAATAAGAACCTTAAAGGGATTTAGAGTGCTGCTCGGTTAATTTACTTATAATTTTGAGATTAAAACATGTTTGTAAGTAGTATTAAAAACTGATTGTTTTGTAGGTACATAACTAGTACCGTTGGTATGGGTATTTTAAATTATAGGTTTGGCTGCGTATTGCAGTCCATTCTTGCATCTATATTGTACTTAGGCGCATAATTTGCATAAATAAAAAATTAATATAATTATGCTTCTTATGTTTTAACTTTTCTGTTAAATTGTGCCTTGAATAATGAAATACGACAGTTGTTGTTGTCAGTCTGACTGCTACTGTCACACTGCTGGTTAGGAAGTCGCTCGGCGACTGTCTTTTCCCCCCACTCCTATCAAACCTTCACTCCTTTTTTTAGGCTTAGAAGGGAAGTTTCTGCGCGCGGCTTTTATTTTTATTACAGTAGCTAGTATGTAGAGACGTAATAAGTCTAATTAATTCATAAGCAGGACGAGTTATTAGTAATAAAGGTTTTGTTATATTTTTATCACAATTTGATACAAAAGTGAAAATTGACTATGTTTACGACATTATAATGATAATATAGTATAGACACGTACAATAATAATTAATTATGTACAATCAGTAAATGCAAAGGAGTTGGCAGAGTTAAAAAGAAATGTACTATTACGTAATAGTAGTGATATTGCAATTTAAGTCTCTTTTTCTCTATATTCGGTTAATGACGTTAATTTTTTTTTTGAAATTTAAAAGAAAAACTAAAATTAAATTAGTTGTATATAATAATAATAATTTATGTTGTAGTGTCCCGTTTGGATGTTTTATTGCCACTTAAAGTGTTATCGTCGAGTGTCTGAATTTCGTATTCTTCGTCAGGCACTTTGTGAGGTCCAGGTCCCCTGATTTTTTCTTGTACAGTTACGAAGCTGCTCTTAATGTCGTCCAAAGCCTGACCCAAACCAGTTTTAATCCTATTGAACTCCTGGGTAACTAACGAAAGTCGTCCCAAAAGATAATTTAGATTTTCATCGACTTCCGTCATCCTTTCGGTAATTTTGCCGACCTAATTTAATTAAAAAAAAAAAAAAACGAAAATGGTAACAGGAGGGCAGGGGTGAAATCATTACATACCTTTCCTTTCATAGAATCCATTGATGTTAAAGAGCCATTAACATAAGCGTCTGTTTGGTTTTGAAGTTTATTTAGGGAATCGGTACTCACGGTCAGTTGTTGGTACATTATACCAATTTGGCGCCACACTTGGTCAATGTCTTTACCAATTTTCGAACTGACATTTGCCAGAGCGCCGTTTTCACTGTCCAGAATTGATTGCTCGAAATCGTCGAATCTGAAATACATAATTAATTTATATTTTTACAGTAATTAGAGCTCATACTACTACAAGTAGTTTGCTGTGGTGTACAGTAAGTTAAAAGATAATAAAGACAGAGAGAGGGGGAGCAAAGCCAATGTACTGCATTGACTTTACCCCCCCCCCCTGGTTTCACAACTCCAGCTGTGAGAGCGTCACTAAGTAGCGCTCGCTTGTTCGCTGCGCAGTAAGGCAATGCGCATCTGATTTGACGCGATTCGGCCATGTTTTTGTTTGACAACTGTCAACACCGAAACTGATGTGCAGTACCTCATCGCGCAGCGGACCATTTCGTTTTTTATTCTGTATTAATAGTGACGATGCTTCGGATTAAGTTATTGGTCCTATTTCTAATCTTCTTGCATGCACATAAGCATTTTTACCTTTCGTTAATGGATGATGACGTGTTTTTAAAACTGCTCTTTATAAGTTCGGCAACTTCTAAAAGAATTTGGTGCACGCTGTATTCAACCAGACGTTTAACGTCCATTACATTATCAGCAGTTTGCATCATTACATTTTCCACTTTTCTCAGCGACTGTATGTCGTTCTTAAGTTTCTCGTAGCTGTCGGCCGTGTTGGCGCCTTGCATTTCCATGATTCCGCTCAAATTGATCATCGACTTTTCCATGTCGCCGTGTTTTTTTTCTGCGTCAGCGGCAGCCTGCTGGTACTTTGCGTCTATAATTGTAGCCGTTTTATCGGCAGATCGTATCGTCTCGTATTTAATGTCTTGCAGTACTTCTAACGTTTCATTCTTTGAGGATTCAATTACTGCGGAGTCGGGAAGTTTTTGAACTTTTTCTGACATCGCCTTTACGTCCGATTGGATCTGGTCTATGTTCGATTTTTGAATTTCCAAGGCTGAAACCAAAAAAAATAATGTATAGGTAATATGCGTATGGAAAACCTTTTTTTCTCACCTTTTATGAATGTTGTTTGCAAATCGTTCGCGTTTTTCGATTGATCAGGAATTACTTGTACCATATTGGTAAATCTGAGAAGCAGTTCTTCTGTGTTGTTAAGTTGCTTGTTGATGTCGTTCAGTTTTCTTGTAGTTTGTTCGTTCGCGGATTTTAATTCCAAATTTTCGGCTGCTATTTTTTCGAACTGTTTTTCTAAAGAATTAATTGCTTTTGTAAGACCACCCAGCTGCTCATTGATGCTGTTTTGTACCAGTACATCAGTCTTGGGCGTTTCAGTTGGAACGGGTTGTACTGACGTTGACAATTTCGAAATCTACAATTAATTATAAACGTATATTTCCTTGTAGTTTCTAAACATTATTTGTTAATCGTTATTGTTGTTGTTAATTCGTGAAAGTATTAGAGGTACCTCCAGTAGTACGTCGTTTCTAATCTTCTCCATCAGAATGGGCATGTCCCTTTGTAGTTGATCAACCCCGTCGAGAACCCTCTGCGATTGTATGCGTTCCCTTTCGTCTTTCTGGAGTAGAATTGTTTCTACGGCTGCTAATCTTTCGTCCAGTCTTCCAACGGCCCCTTTTACGGGTTCCATGAGTCGTTGGCGTTTTTCTATCGTGGACAGTGCTTTCTTTAGGGTCTCACCCAAGGCCCTCTCGCGAGTTTCATGTCTCGCTAGTTTGTCATCTGTCGATCTTATCATATGCACCACGGAAATTATCGCATCGCGGATATTTTCGTTTCTGAGATAACAAAAAAAAGAAGACTTTTTAAAATCGTCTTTTATTTTACAGTGGGTTGAAATTTAACAATGGGATATCGGGCTAAATTGCAGTATTGTATGAAAATAAATGAAAATAAAACTAAAACACTGGTATGCAAGGGAAGAAAAAGTAGGGAAAGAGCGAATATAAAGATAGGAGACGAAAAATTAGAAGAAGTAGCTGATTTTAGATACCTAGGAAGTCAGATAAGTCAGGATGGAAGGATATAAAGCAGAGGATAGCGCAGGGTCGTGTAGCCTTTAATAAAACGAACTCANATTTCTGAGACGTTTTTTAAAATAGAAAGTTAATTGTGGAGTAAAATATTTCAGGTAAGTAGCCCATAATGAGGCAAAATATACTTAAAACGTTTTTATCTTTTATTCATCGTTCTCATTTTACAGATACTTAATACTTCTTACATATTTTATCATTAATTTGGTTAACAGGATAAAAAATAAATAATTATATATTTTACAGTCTTTATTTTTAAGCCTAACATTTCGTGTACAGGCTAGAACTTCTTCAGACAGTGCATCAGCATATTTCTAAGCCTCATTCTCAATTTTTCATCACTGTTACACAGTACGTGCGTACAATTTTCTTCTATTTGTATCAGTGCATCTTCATCTTGCTAAAATTGTTTAATTATAGGATGGATTTAGTTATTCAATTTCTTAATTAAAGAATTACCAAATGTATCATCACTCCGCTTCCACTGGGTTCAACTTTTGCGTCTGTTATTCCATCTTGTGAAAGTTTTTGTAAAAATTCGGTTACGTTTAAAGAGCCCCATTCATACTGTATGTTAGCTTGATAGTTTGGATCCTTAATCTTTTCTAAACTCTATAATAAAACACATTTAGTGATTTAATTATTAATCGAAATAATAATTAACTCACTTCCATGTTATGTACATTGTCTTTTACTTTTAAAGTGCCTGTAAGTGAAGACAAACTGATTCCCGGTTTTATTTCCACGGGCACAATTTTCTGGGCTATTTCTCTCTCGACAAAAACCTGAGCTTGCTTACGTTTAAGGGGCAAATTTATTACCTAAAGATTTACAGTTTCGTAACGTACCTATCGGGAGTTTCAAAAAATTGACAAAATAGTGTTAATGTTATTACCTCTCCCCATTTGTATGGGATAAGGGTTCTGTCAGGGTTGTTCTCTATCACCAATTCAGTTAGATTGGGTGCTGAAACTGGAGGCACAGTGTAACATTCTGGAACAACTAATGTGCTTGGTTTTAGGTCTTTTATTAATTTGTTTGCTTGGGTAAAATTTAAAGAAGTATCAATCGCACAATGGGCCACTTTCATTTGGAGGGGTTGATACGGTGCCAGTGCATCGATGTAGTCAAAATCTGGTTCTGCAAAGTTTTGATAAAAACGATAGATTCTTAATTGTATTATTAAATTACTTGCCCGTAAAAACAATACAATTTCTCGGATTGTTGCCCCATAGTTCTATAAACTGTACAACGTCTCCAAATCTGCAGCTCGGATGTCCGCAGAATACCACACATGGCTGAAAATAACATTTGCATTGCAAATAAAATACCAATCATTATTTAATTGGTATTGAAAAAATATAAGGGTAATATTCTAATAATTATTAGTAAGTATTATCTAATATTAAGTTATCTGTTGAAGTTAAATACCTCCTGAAAATCGGTACTGAATCCTTCTGAGTAAATGTGCTTGAAATGTTTCAATTTTGAATTTTTAACTAATAATCCATGAGGAAATGGTTCGTCAGGGACATAAACTTTATTCTGCTTTACTGATGACAACCATTCGGCAAGTATATTAGAATATGCTAAAGACATGTCGGCTACAGGTGAAATGAAAAACATTGGACAATTTGACACTCCTAATTCCTGCATTTTTACTGAAAGACATTCGAAAAGATCGTACACCACTCCTGTAGGATAGCAGGGAATTAATACATTGCCACCACCTCTTAGTGTTAAACCTAACAAGAAATACGATTATATTAAAATAATTATTATGAATGAATGATTTGTTGTTCTTGCCTACTACAACACAAAGGACACCTAACATTCCATCAGGGTTACTAATAGGGGTTTGCGTAAGGTCCGTCATTATAAGGACGTCTGCATTTTTTAATGCATGATGATCCATGGGTTTGGGATGTGTGGTCAGTGTACTTGAACCGCTCAAGTAAACTATTTTCTCATGATCCGAACTAATGACCCAATTACTTGAGCCTAAACAGTAGCCAGAGCTTGCAGGTATCACCTGAAGGGCCCCATATACATCCTTGACAGTAAAAATTTATGATTAGTGAAAAAAATTATACATCAGCCTTTTTATCTAACTTTACCAGTTTTTCATTGTATCCAACCATTTGTATTCTTGATAAGCTGGCATTTACATTGCTCATATTGTATATTCTTTTCCAAGATTTGGGCTTAAAGGAGTCACTTAGGGGATAAGGCAATTTATGGACGAAATTTTTCCATTGATTAGCAAAATTTGCTTTTGGGCATTGCTCAATGTTTAAGACCAATTCTTCAAGAAGAAGCCTATTTACAAAAACAACGTTTAATTCTATGCATTATATATCAATTAAAAATACTAATTGCAAGTAATTGACCTTCCAATTTGTAAAGTTGGTTCTGTTGCATATATCCGGCCTTGGAAACCTGTCCCCTCTGTAATAAATGGTAAGGCCATCATGCAGAGATAATTTGAAATTAATATTATATCAACTTGAGCAAAATCAATCAGTTTATCTAATGGTGGGCAAAACTCTGGAGGGGAATCTATAAAGACTCTGTCACAGTTTTCTCTCAGTTCCTATATTAAAAAAGTTTTAGTTTACTTGAAATTTAATCATTTTTTTAACACTTACTCCTTCAAGCTCTGGTTCAGAGACATTCTGTGGAGTCCAGAAAGGCAAATTAAGCAATTTATTGGATGCAACAAATGATAGCGGAAGAAAGTTTAGCACCGATTGCATAGAAAGACCACAATCCAACATTATTGTTATTTCTTTGAATGTAAGAATGTGACATGGTTTATTTGGATCGTTGCTTAAACAGTACTGAAAAAGAAATGCTATTTACTGTTAATTTAATAAACGTTCTTATACATACCAGTTTCATGATTACACTGGTTATTAATTTATAGCGTATCAATTATAAATCTTAGGCTCATTAAACTATTATATCATTATAGGTATATTGGCCTTAACGTAATGTTTACGCAATTATTTAAACAATTTTTATCACTAAAAAACTTTGTTTTGATTTAGGTTAGGGCACACTAATTCCGTTAAATGTTAATTATACCACCCCAATTAAAAAATTTACACTTATTAAATGATTATTTTACTATAAAATATTATATCGCATACTGTTTTTGTTAAAATTTGAACAATTATTATCACTGATTATCACCAAAACATTGGATTTTATTTAGGTTATGGCATACCCATAGAGAATAGAGGAGCATTCCATAGAACACCATAGCCAACGCCATAGATAATAGCCTACAACATAACACCATATCTGTGGATATATGTAGTGGTTATGTATTACCGACCGGTTAGATATACGTACAGTTATTGTAACAAATTTATAATTGTAATAGTTAATTATTACACTTTATTTGTAATGCATTTTTTCGTATGTTTTTTAACAATTTCATTGGGAGTCCCATGAAGTCTGTTTTTGCTTAGGCTAAATGAAAAGAATACCCGAAAATAAGAAAATCGAATCAAGAAGAAGAAAAGTCCGCGCCCGGTCCCGGTGTAAAGATAGGTGCATATAGGTGTTAAAAAGAGAGAGAGAGATAGCGAGTGTAGATATAGAGCGAAGTGTCAGATTGTGTCAGATACAGAGACCAGAAACGAGCCAATAGTGCTTTTGCGGCAGGACGTGTGTAACCTTATTATTTATATATTGACTTGATAAAAAAATCTTATGCAACGCTCATGATAATAATGGTCTTATCAGGTCTTATCACTGAACGTGTAAAGTATAATATACATTTTGGTTGTTTGTGAGTGTACAAAATAACATTCAAACTGGCGACTGATAGTGGTAGTGACAGCAAGTCAAATATGGCTTCTTCAGCGAGAATTATTCAGACAAATTCAGCATGGTTTCAGAAAAAAATTAATTTAAGACCACAGCATAGAGGAGTGCACTTAGTTACAGAAGAAATTTTACGACAGATTCCAGAATTATCCCAATTTGCAATGGGGCTGTGCCATGTACAAAGTGAGTACCATATCAAACACTTGACACAGACATTTTTTTAATATACCCACCTTTAATAAGACTGGTACAAGTAAGTTCTTTTTAAAAAAGTGTTATATACATTTTGGAGACTTAATTATTAATTTACTTTAAATGTGTGTGCTTTATTGTATGTATGCACTTTTACTTCATTTCATTGTGTAACTTCAATGAAGTTTTGGAATTTTTGTTCAATGAAAAAAGTTTGATAAGGAATGTAGCAATGAATATCCATAAATTTTAGTCCTTCATACATCAGCCAGTTTGGCACTAAATGAAAGCTGGGATCCTGATGTCAGAGATGATATGGAGATGATGTTAAACAAAATAGTGCCTCAAGGCCTACCATATAGGCATTCATGTGAGGGACCTGATGACATGGTAAGTAAACATTTTTACTGTAAAAACAAATTACACGAGTGGCCAAAATACGTGATACATCAATCAGATAATTAAATTAAGAAACTAAAGTGTTTTTATTACTTCAGGTTATTAAGCATTTGTTAATTACTATTTTATGTGGTTGCTTTATGATAATTATTATTTGTTCCCAGAAAATTTTATATGTACTGATCCTGATGTGTGTTCTGGCTATTTTATTAAAAAATGTTCCACTGGACTTGTTACTCCTTTGAATATACCTTTTAACAACTCATTGTGTCCCACTCTTTGGAAGAATGCCTGTATTACTCCTATAAGTACCTATAGAAAAATGGCAATAAATCTAATATTAAAAATTATAGATCCATGTCATGTGGCTCCATTTTTAAAAGTACTGAATCCTTTAGTCCTGTAGAAATCGTCTTTCAAACTAATAAGTTTTCTTATTCAAGCTCAGCCTGACTTCAGGAGTATAATATGTCCTCCGTTACAAATGTTTTTATACTTGAATTAACTGACAACAAATTTAATGGAAAATATCCGTGTTGACTCTGTTTTGATTTTACAAAGGTATCTTATTCTGTGGACCACTCGATTTTGATAGATAAATAAATACAATGGTTAACCCAATTGACCCAATTCAAATTATGAAGATCAGAAATAGTTTATCTCCTTCTACAATTGTTACATGGGTAGTTCCTCAGAGTTCACATCTTGGGCCATTGCTATTTAACCTTTTTATTAACGACCTTTGTTTGGCTAAAAAATTTGCTACTGCTTAAGCATGGGTTTGTTAATTTTATTTGTTTTTCAGCCTGCACATGTAAAGGCGTGCTTCTTGGGTTCGTCGCTCACAATTCCAATAACGGAGGGTAAATTGAATCTTGGTACGTGGCAAGGGGTATGGTTGTGTGAACATAGGGACCATGCGGGGTCGCGAAAGCTACTAATCACGCTCAATGGGTGTCTGCGGGATGCCACGTGCACCCCTTTATCGCCAGTCAGTCCAATGGCAAGCACGAGCAGTTAGGGAAAACACTCGGGCCACTCACTGTCGAAACACTGAGCGTCCCGAGTTATTCAGCCAAGTTAACTACTAAATAATATTAAAATAATATTTTAGTGTCGCACAGACTCAAAAAATCTATGACAATATGTACATATGTGTACATTTGGGTTAATTTTGCGTTGTAAAACTGGAGTCGTTCCATTAATTAGGATAAAAGTCACTGCTGCGTAGATTATGATGAAGTTCATTAATGGTAAGTTTGGTTTATTTGCCCCTTTTTATTTTTTAAATTAAGTTTTACTTTTACATTGGGCACGAAATGTGATGTGCAAAGTTATTTAATCACATCAATTTTAAAAAGGAATTAATATTCTTTTCAGTAGTACAAACATTTCTAACACATGAACAAACTTTTAAATTATTCTAAATTTGCCATTAGATTATTAATCTGTATTTTTTTATCAATTATTGATTTTTACACATTTGTTTAGTTTTTATTTATAGAATCCTTATAGATTTTGAAAGCTCTGATTTCTATTTGCATTAGATAGATTATGAATACATTGCATTTGTTAGATTTAAATAACATTCCATATTTCATAGTTCTAGTATTCGTTTTAATTACGTACGATTTACACAATGAATAGAATGTTAATTTTGCTAAAAGATTAGTTGAACAGTTTGCACCCATATTTTGCCCTGATTGTGGTTTTGGAAATAAGGCAACTCGAAAAAGGCTGTAAATAGTAAAACACTGTTTTTGTTTTATCTGTGCCTTTATCTAGGCAAATTTTCTTGATATATGTGTACTTGCAGAACTATTCTGTTTGTCGTTTAGTTTTAATCTATAGGATATAAATTTATTATTTTGAATGGTTGAAGATTTGGTTTGTTCAAAATGAAAACGGTTGCTCTCCTTTTTATGACATTACATAAATAAAAATATACACATATAAGATTACAAGTGTGTGTAGTTGTAGCTTTTTATAATTTTGCACAGTAGTTTGAAACACTCTCTGTACATCATAGCAAACAGAAGATCAAGCAGAATGGTTCTTTCGAATGTCTATTTTTAAGTATCTACATAAATCGATTAATTATTAATTAATCCACCAAGACAAAGACAAAAATACCACACGGATTAAAATGTAAATAATATTATAATACGGGTTGTAAATAGTGTGTTTTTGGGAAAGGATGGATCGTCTTCCTTTTTCTCCCGTAGCAATATCCGGTAGTGAAGCTTCCTTCCTTCTTATCCCATCACAAGTTTAAATGTGATTATTCATTTATTCATGCAGAAAAAGAAAATAATTGAGTTCTAAACAAGTTATCTGAGGAGGTGCTGTGTTGTGTTGTTTTTCTTTTTTAATCGATAAGTAGTTATTTTTTTTTTGTGTATTGTCACACCCTGGTGGTATGTACATGTAGGTACGTTAATCTTTTATTGTTATATTATTTATGTTTTATTCAATTTGTAGTGAAAGGACCGCACGTCGTTTGTAGATATAAGGCCTGTATTTAGGCCGTCGATCTTAATAGGTAGTTAAATATTCCTTATTAAAAGTAAATTAAATTTCGTAGAGATTTTCTAAGCGCACCCTGGATAATGACGTCATCTGTGAACGACGTGCTATCCTTGGCTGATAACGAAACGTGCTGTGTTATATTTCTCTAAACAAATCTAACAAAAAGGGCTTAACGGAGCACAAACCAGTTAACATCCTTCTTAAATTATAGGTCTCATAGTTTTATGTACTTTATTACCAAAATCTTAAATGTTAATTGCTGCATAAAAAAGATTCAGACAAGAGCTGATGGGAGGCAAGAATAGAAGATGTTTTTAATTTGTTCGAATTTCTAAAAAAAAAGGTAGAATACAAGAGTTGTAGTAGTGTGAGACCTATGCGTTTAAGAAGGGGGTGGGAGTTGATTAACGTTTGATTGGTTACAGTCTTTGGTATGACTTTTTTTGACACACATACACAGGGTAGGCTTGAGTAAAACCGAAAAATTATAAGTTATTATTATTCATTACAACATTAAAAAGTCCTATCGGACTCAAACGAATATTATTATATATTATAATAGAGATATATAAATAAAAAGGGGGATTCTTCTTGACCTATGCAGAAGCGAAATAATAAATATCACCATACCTTATGTTTACGTACAATAATATATAGTTTGTTGGGGGCATTGCATAGATGACGATGATTGTGATGATGTTAGTGTCATGAAGATGCTGAGGAAATAGCGGCCGTAGAGAACTGATTATTATTATTATTGTCATCATCAATATTATCTATCGTGTATTTTTTTTAACAAGAAAAATTATAATAAGAAGTTGATGAAAAGGCAGAGAAAAGAATCATGATAAAACTGTAGTTATAAGAAGGAGATTTTTATTCACTTTGTATGTATGCACATTGTTATTGACACATGGTTTAATAATTGATTCGGTTTTTCGGTGGTTACTTTTGGAAAATGGCCCAAATTACATAGTGGAAGGAGTTCTTATAATATAGACGCGGTTGTCCGATAAGGTCCAAAAGTACAGCACAAATTTTATTGTTTCGACACGAAGAACGTTAGTTGCATAGAATTTATTATTAATTAATACATAATTGCAGCTCTGAGAAGTGTGTGAGTTTGTTACATAGCATAGGTGCATTGTGCACGAAAGCAAAATCAAGATGGTTATTTTTTTATTATTATTACCTAATACCGGTCCTCATGATATGGTTATTACATATTATAATGATTAAATTGCCGGGGAATTTTGAGGGTACTTAGTTTGTTACATCTTGCGGTAAATGTATTAGGATATGTCCAAAAAAATAAAATTTTAAGGATTGCTAAATTTGTCGAAAAAATACTTTTTTCCTGTGTTGTTCTTGTAAAAAAAACAATATAATTTGATTATGTTCATCCTACTCAAAATTAAATTAAAAAATTATTTTTTTGGACATGCCCTGCTGAATGTTTTAAATTGGTTGCTATTTTTTTAAAACCCAATATTTTAAGTAAATAAAAAATTAGATTGTCTAATCACAAAATTTACTGGTGATTTAACAGCTAACATAAACTATACTACTATTACATTTGTTAAATTTATATTGTATTCTAAATTATTGTTGAATGTTTTATTAGTTTACGTTTTAATATTTAAATATACCATATACATTTTTATTTTATATTGTTTTCTTCTTTCTAGTTTTTATTTATCCCATCATATTGTTGTAATGTTTAAAAGGTCGTAAGGTTTGTCGTCCTTCCCCTGTTTGTTTTTGTTATTTTGGTTTATTTTTGAATCTGGATGTCCTTTTGCCGCCCCCTTAAAGATGCTGTACCGTTTTTGTGAATAGTGTTATTAAAATTCACTTTTGTAGGAGCTATTTCTTCAAGTTGTTTATAAACTATTTGTGATTTTAATAATACTTTAAAAAAAAAAAGAAAAAGTATACACCACCATGTCCAAATATTTTTAGGAATAATCAATCACTGGACAAAAATACAGCAAATGTGTTGTCAAAGTTTGCGCTAATTTAATAGTTTCCTTTAACTATACAAATGTTTCATTGTTACTGTTTTATTTTTGTGATATCCGTCCCAATTTTTCTAAAAACTAAAACTACTTTGCCTGTATAAATTATTAAAATTAGCGCTGTATTTTTGTTCTAATACTACTAATAATAAATATTGATAAAAAATAAATAAAAAACGCAAAAGAGGG